CGGTCCGGCTTGGGCTCTTTGGCCTCTTTCAATGCACGGAGTGGGAAGACAAAACCTCCCACGATGAGCTCAACACGTCGTGCTCGCTGCACTGTGATGCTGCCCGTTTCTGCATGGTAATCCAATGCTTCTAACTTGGCAACAAGATACTCACCTTTCCATGCAAAACCAGGTTGAATATGGTATCCCAAAAAGATTCCATCATTTGCTGTCGGTGATGTCTTTCCAGATGTGTTGTCAACCCTTTTTGGATTGTTCCAAAATAGTATCTTTGCACCGAAAGGAATCAACTGACCTGGAAAATCTTCTTCGAATCTGAGTTTCCATGGGGCATCATCACCGTTGAGCTGTGGCGTGGCGTTCACTGCCATGGAGAAATGCTGCATAGCCATTGGCCAATACTGCAATGGAAGACCTGACTGCACGAGGTTTGTGCGCGTGCCTTCAAGCATGTGCCTGATCTCCCTCTCCACAAACGACTTTGAACTATCCACGTACTCTGTTGATGTTTGATGTCTGTACCCCAACTCTGAAATTGTAGCAATAAGTTCTCGTGAATTGTCAGTGTAAACTGCCCCAACTTCATCCTTGTGAGATAAGAAGTGGTTGAATGCGTTAACACATGACTCACTCGATTTGGTCTGGCTTGGATAGACGTGTCTGAACTGAGTGTGAATGTCCTTCATCACCAATGCCACTGTTTCACCTTTGACGCCTTCTTCCACATTGGATTTGATTACAGTATGGTCAACGACAATGTGATCCCCAAAACTTTTGGTTTCCAACCTTTTCTGTCCCCCTTTCTTCTTTGCGGGTGGCGCCATCATGCGTGCCTTCTGACAGATTTTGCAAAATGGATTCTTGGGGTAATGGCAAAACTGGTGAGATTTGCTGCATGCCTCTTGCTCAAGGTCAGATGCCTTTCTAGACCTGACGTACTCGGTTTCGCTATCATGAGCTACTCCCTCATCCACGCCTTCTTCATCGGCACCTTCTGCTTTTGCAGCAACCATTGCAAAAAGACGTAACAGATCACAATCTTTCTTGAACTGTCCACTGTTCAAAACGCGACAAGAGCTATCAATAACTGGCACACGGCCGTCTACGTTAAGCTCGATGACTCCCATGTCCGGACGAATGAAGTAAGGCCTCCCATCAGCTGGCCACACAAAACTGTAACCCTGTTCCATACACCTGACCCCAACCGAAAGAACAGCAGGAGTTTCCTCGAGAATGTATGGTGAAAATGGCTGATGTAGGGCATCGACCTTTACGTCGGCCACCTCATCCGCTCGTGTCGAACCGTTCGCTGTAGCAAGGCTGATTGGGGTATCGCTGACACGGCGGTTTGTCGCCTTTGCAGTCTTCAGCATACCCTCACTAATCAAATCCTGTTCGCTGCCCGTGTCAACCAACCAAACACATCCATCTTTTGATGCCGGTGTAGCAACAGTGGGCAAATGAGTGTTACTGACTTTGTTTTTGGGACCAATCATTGCTCTACAGTGGTTGCATGATACTCCCCCTTCTGGGTCATTGCATCGGAATCGGCATTTGGGCTGCGTCTCACTGCCGAAGAGCTTCACAAGTTCCTGCAACTGTCGGGCCGAAACCTGAGCACGGTGAGCCACGAGTTTGTCGGGTTTTGGCACTGACTCTGAATCAGGGAACGTCTTCTCATAGATTCGGGGTTTGTGCACTACCTTCCTCTGTTCACCTGTTGCTGGGACTTTGATGTATTCCACTTTTGATGAAAACACAATAGCTCTATGGCATTGTTCTTTCATGGCCTTTGTAGCTTTCGGCAACCCTTTTCCCTTTGCTATGCATGCATACCTTTGAGTAATGCATGGCGCAGCTTTTGCACTGGCCTTCTTCTTTGGTGCAGGGCTATTGGTGCGTTTTGGATCCTTTGTGGGTGCAGCTGCAACTTCATGTTTGTAAAAACACTTGTCACCACGACGACATTTGCCCTGTTGAAAGTAAGTGCATGGGATCTTGGCCATCTCTTCCTTCGACTTTCTGTTGGGGGAACCACTTCTGCTACCACCTTTGCCCTTACCCTTCTTTTTGGGGGTACCAGATCTTGAGGAATCTTTGACATGCTTGTAGGGACAGTCTTTACCCTTTTCGCACTTGCCATCCCTGAACTTGTAGCATATTTTATCCCCTTTTCCACTCTGGCTACGACCACGGGATCGACCTCGATCACCCTTTCCTTTGCCGCGATCTTTGCCCCCCTGAGCGGGTGCAGCGGGCTGAGGCTTTTCGGTCTGCTTGTTCTTTTCAACGATTCTGTTTCTGTTTGAACGGAGTCTTTCTCTATCCAAAAGATCACGAATGTTTCTCAACAAGAATGCATAAGACTTTTGTTCTGACTTTTCAGGAGCTCTGTCAAATGCTTCGATGTCATACTTCATCAATTGACATTTTCGGATTTGTCTGAGTAAGATGTCTCTGAGAACCAAATCATCTGGCGGGGTTTCCATGCCGGCAATTGTGGCGTCCCATCGGTTCAGAAACCTTCTAAGGTCCTCCACAGATTCTCCAGTGCGAACGACTCCAAGTAGGTCCTCGACGCGGTAGAGACTGCCAGCTTCCTCAGACGTCCTGAAGTAATCTTCAAACATCAAAAGGACTCTCCTACCTCTGACTTGGATCCCTTTCTTTGACTTCTCATCTTTGAAGTTATGGATCTTTGTTGCTAAATCACCTTTGGCCGAGCGAGTTAACGCTGCCGACAATTTGGTGTCAAGTGTGATAAACTTCCCAGGTTCCTGCAGCTTTTCCTCCAACTTTTCCCTAGGGGTTTTGTTGTCAAAGACTTCATTGAGCCAAAGCCAAGCCTCATCGGGTTTGTCAGAGCACGACTTCACTTCATCCCTGACATGATTACGCCAGTGACGATACGCTTCTGGGGCAGGCATGTCGTTCAGTTTGATAGTCTCTGCCTCCTTTGTTCGGGGCTTTTCACCATCTGAATCCTTTGAAGTCAGTCTAGTGATGAGATCTAGCAATTGTTGACCTGAAAGACCTAAGCCTGCATCAGCTGCTTTCTTGCCAGGGTCGCTTGCTATTACTGTAGGACTGGGCACACTATGTTCTTGGTTTGCATCATCATCATTTTGTCTTTGAACTGGCAATGGTGGCAGTTTTGGAGGGGCTGCTGATCCGGCAGGGGTTGTTGAGAACAAGTTGCTCAACCTTTCCTTGGCGTCCATGGCTAAGCTACTCATACCAGTGTTTGGCATGGGTTCTGCTCCAGCCTTGGTACCGACCGCTGATTTTGGGGTCATGTACAAATCGACATTGTTCCCGCCTTGTGAATCATCAACTTCAACGGCTCTGTCGACATTGATTTCCGGGGCGCTATACTTGTTGAGCTTCTCCATCAAATCCTCCACTTGTCCCTGCAATTGGAAGTTGAGTTCAGCAGCTTGGTTTTCCTGCCTACTGCATTCCTCTCTAATCTCCTGGATTACAGCTTGTTCCTCCTTCTTGAAACCTTCCATGCCATTCTTTGCATACTCCACTGTTTCGTCCACGATTCGTTTACAGTCTGCCTCGAGGCTACCTCTGAGTTCAGAAAACCTTTGTTCGTACTGGGCTGTAACGTGGGCTACCTTTTGGTTGGCTCTTTGTTCAGCTTCCAGTGCAACTGCATTTGCAGCGTTTTTCAGCTTTGCGTTTGCATCGCTAAGTTCCTGTCTCAGTTTTGCTACCTCATGCTCAGTTGCCGTTTGGGACATTGAATACTCTGACACTAGGTGCTCATGTCTGCGGTCAGCTTCTGCACGTTGATGGGCGATTTCGCTAAGGCAAATTCCCTCAAACTCTTGGTACAGTTGCTGGACCTTTTGTTCCATGAGATGTGTGTGCCTCTCCTCTGCCTCTTGCCTGAAAGCATCAATGTTACCTTCGTTGATGTAGGTAAGATTGTTTTGCACGAACTGGAAATAGGCTTGCACGGGCTGTGTGAAGAAACCTTCATCCACTGACATGGGCGTGGGGTTTGTCCCAGCCGGCAAGCTCTGTTGAGAACCAGTTGATGCGGACACTGTTCCGGTTGAAGGCACAAGGGCACCACCACCTGTTGCATCGTGAGTCTTATCCATGGCTTTAGAGACTACGGCTGATAACCTGTATTTTCAGGTTTCAGCAAGGGATGTTACTTATCCCAAATGGACTGATAAACCTAACAAGTGGAACCAACAACTACAACCGTTAAGCACGCGACTCACACCTTTTAGCACTGAGCCGCACAGCTGTGGTAACATGCTATAATACATGATGTTTTACATGGGGTGCAAATACAAATGGCCATTTCAGGAACCTAAATTGGAGGTGCCTACCATATATAAGGCCTATATAAGGCCTATGTAAAGGAATATCCCCACAAAATATGGCCTTATATGGTACAGTACCTCCAATTTAGGATCCTGGAATTCCCATTGAGCCAGGTTCAGTCCCAAATGATTCGTTTAATAGAGATAGTACCCCTGTTGCAGCCCAGAAATTTAGGAGCCAAGTTTTGGGCCAAATCTGCTTAGACAGCGGCACACCATTAAAAGTCAAACACATGACCCCTTCTGAAATTGAGCCAGCTACATGTTTTGAGCTAACTCGAAAATGAGGAAGATTGTGGATTGCTACATTCAATAATATTAGTTGTTAAGACCGGATTCCCAGCTCATGGATTATGAAAATCCCCGATATATGAAGGGCAGTAAAATGGTATAGCCTCCTAGTATGCCCAAGCAACCATCATTTGGCAATTACATTGAGTATATCCTCATGTTTGATTATTAAAAGAAATATATCAAGGTGAAACACAGTTGTGGCCCTTTGCCAGTTGCAACTCATTTATAACCACATGTCTGGAATGTATAACCCAATTTATACGCACATTTTGTAACCTGGCAAAGGCTCCAAAAACATGAACAAACCGCATGTTTTCAATCCCCAATAGCCAGCCGCCATGTCCGAAATGTTCCAGTCACATCCACACAACCGCGTTTCAAAGCCACAGCAGTGCGCCACTGGAAATGTCCTCAGCGGCTCCGCAGGAGGGCCCCCAGTGCCAGAAAACAAGGTCCGTTGTTTGAAGCAAAACATGGATTGCAGAAAAAGAAGGGATAAATGGATACAAATTAGGATTCCCCTATTTTTTGGGGGAACCAAATGGTTATGTTTCACTGATGTGGTTTATAATCCTCATGAACTAGTTCGATTTGATCTACCAGAAACCCAAGACTTATTGGAGTTGCACCAACTTCCCTAGCTATGGGGTACCACCTTGGAAGTATTCAATATAACCCATGTATAGTCCATGAATCTGGGGATATAACCCATATTTCTTTAGCCAAAAGATAAAAGAGTTGTTTATACCATAATTTACCTAATATTATGATTCTCGCACTATTTTTGTAGGATGTTACCCTCTGGTAAACGTTTACATAACTATGGAAAATCACCATTTTCTAGCTGGGTAAATCAACTATTTCTATGGCCATGTTCAATAGCTATGTTAGTTTACCAGAGGGTAAGTCAGCCATATGCCATAAAAGAAATCACTATTGAAAATGGCCACCGAAATAGTTGATTTACCCATTATTTCTATGGCCATGTTCAAGTTCGCAAACTGTAAACGTTTACCAGAGTTATATAGGAAAACCTGTACTGTAATTATTTACCATCACTATTTACTAACCATATGATTCTGACATTTTTTTTGTAGGATGTTACTTTCCGTGTCGTCTTGGGGAGCAGATCGCAACGGAGCTCTTGGAGCAGATCGTTGGTGGTGAAAGCAAAAGCTGCAGTTGAAACAAAAACCACTAACTATTAACTATGGTTATATCTGCTATATCAACTGTAAACCATGGTATATGTTATATGATTTATATGTATCTCTATTAACTATGGTTATCCATTAACATGGGATTTAATGGGATTAAACTATTTAGTTGCAGTTAGATAGAACCATAGTTAATGGGATAACTGTAACATATCCCATTAACTATGGTTATATCTACTATAGCTACCATAGCTATAAGAGATACATGCACTAAAAAATGCTGGTTGTTGGTGCAATGTGCCCATCTTGAAAAATGATGGAGTTCGTCAATTGGAATTAATGGGAAGGATATATTATCCCACGTATGAAATGGAAAATAACATTCATGTTTGAAACCACCAAGCAGACTTGAAAAGCAGGTGCTGTCTTCACAAGTCACGTAAACGTGATGGCCAAAAAGAAGCAGCAATGCAGTTCAAAGAGATTTGCAAAAGAAATAAGACTACTGTGGAGACTCTGGAGTTGCCCGAGCTGGACCGGGAACAACAGTTGCAAGATGTTGCAAGAGAGCAAGAGGCAGAGAAACCATCAGGCAGTTTCACTTGAATGGCTATGTAAAAGTAGCGTGCGCGCCTCACTAACGCAAACCCTTTGGGCCTAGGTGCAGGGAAACAATGTCGTTGCATATGTACAGGACTCCGGCTTCGAATGAGATCTAAAAAACATCACTGCCCAGTTATTTCTGTCCTTCAGATTTAAAAAATCCTTGTATTTTTCTTAGAGTGGATCCCATATGATTGGTTCCCACTTCGTAACCGGGATGCACATCCAAGATCATCCAAGTATGATGTATGCCCATCCGCGTAATTTTTGTGGATATTACATGGTCTGAATGGGTACACGATGTTACTTAGTTTTACCGTACTTAACCATACACCATACCTAAATATATAAATTCACATCGTTTTCCCACCGTTTGCTGTGATTCTATGCATCTAAATTGCATCTATGGATTGATGATTCACTCAGAAACATGTGGATATTGGCGAACAAAAGTGTGGTTCTAGCCAACCAAAATGGTAATTTGAAGGTTTCTCAAAATAGGGGTACCTCCCAAATCATCCGCTTTTTCATAGGATTGTCTATTATAAATCATCCAGCGAGCTTGGGTATTTGCCCACTTCGGAAAGCCCCATCAAAAACCACAACCAAAATCAAAATCACGTGGGGCTTCTCAAGCAATGGGCTGAATCATGGAGATCCAAAACCGAAATCACGGGCCAATGGTGCTGGAAAATCCTGATTTCCCCATCAAAACCACCACTGGGATGTTTGGGGATTTCCCATTGCCATACTTGATCACCAGCGGAATTCTTGGACTGGACAACTGTGACATGGTTTCCTTTCACCATCAATCTACAACATTGGGAATCTTAGCAAACAAAATTGGGTTTTTGCAATCATGTGGCATGCCCACGAATAAACAATACTTCGTTCAGCTTTTTTACTTTAGGGTCTATCTTCTACCCCATTGGAATGTTTGGATATGCGGACTCCATGAGGCAAGATCACCTATAACATCCTGGAGAATATGTTCGACCTATATTAACCTGTATTTGATTGTGTGTATCATATTGACCCCGCAAAAATGCGTTGTCCTTTTTCGAGGGTGCTCAAAGCAAGGGGGCGATCCAGCTTTGACACGACAATCGTCAAAAACCCAGAAGCACATGCGTTCAGAAGCGGCAACAGAAATGGGAGGCGAAGCTTCAAAATGGATTTATACAATGAATACAAACAAAAATAATAATAAAATGCACCTGCCTATTGTTACATAAGTTTTGCACCCAAAACAATTGCCTCAAAGGGGGGTTTGAACATGGAACATTTTCACCAGAAACCCATCGGAAGTTTTGCCTTTTCTTTGGCCACCAACAACTTGGATGAGAATATAAGAACTGCTACTCTCCAGTAATCAAACGTGGCGTGTTGGAAAATCACCCATTGGGTTCGATGATTTTTTCCAGCGAACTAAACCTCCTTTTAGTTTGGGGATTTCCGAGCTAGCTATGTTTGATTATCGGAGGGTAAGCATGTTGTGTTTTTGATTGTAAATAATTCAGAGGAAATAAAGATATTAGAACCACGAACTACAACTCCAAAATTTGGTTTAAAACAATCATAAACCACCCCATTTGGGAATGGTAACCATACCACCTATCAAAATGATGATGACTGGGGGATGCTTTATGGCATTGTTTTGCCCACAAAGCGCGCTATAATCCCATCCTTTCTGCGTTCCGAGTATCTTGTGCAGTCGCTCAACGCCGTGGTGCGAATTCGCAGCACATCCCCTGGTGTCGCTGAAACCCCTTATGGGGATGGATCAAAACTGGCAAAATGTGGGTAAAACAATGCCATCTGCACCATCCCCCAGAAAAATCACCATTTTTATAGGTGGTATGGTTACCATTCCCAGTCATGGGTGGTAAAAATGGCATTGTTTTACCCACATTTTGCCATCTATACAGTGTACAGATATAACATAGTGTTTTTTTTGCGGAAACATTCATATTCCTGTTGTTTTGGTATTCACCAGGGTAACAGGGTTTTGATCCATAGCCGTTTGGGTTTGATGGCATGCAGGAAAAAATATCAGGTCAATGATCATTTTCCCATGAAATTGTTGTATAGTAGCCTAGGATACCTCCTATTCTTGGGCAAACCCATATGCCAACCATTTCCTCAACTTTCTCAACCATTTCCCATCACCCAGACATACTGTTGAATTTGGTGGTTTGGTGGTCCCCCGCGAAAGTTTAACTTCTAGGAGTGTAAATATATATATATATATATTGACATATGCATCTATGTATATAGCATATATATTTATATTATTTATATATGTATCTATAACTGTCGTGCATGTATAAGAATATATATGTGTAATATGTATGTATGTATGTATGTATGTATGTATGTATGTATGTATGTATGTATGTATGTATGTATGTATGTATGTATGTATGTATGTATGTATGTATGTATGTATGTATGTAGTATGTATGTATGTATGTATGTATGTATGTATGTATGTATGTATGTATGTATGTATGTATGTATGTATGTATGTATGTATGTATGTATGTATGTATGTATGTATGTATGTATGTATGTATGTATGTATGTAGTGTATGTAGTGTATGTAGTGTATGTAGTGTATGTAGTGTATGTATGTATGTATGTATGTATGTATGTATGTATGTATGTATGTATGTATGTATGTTATGTATGTTATGTATGTTATGTATGTTATGTATGTATGTGTGTGTCTGTATGTGTGTCTGTATGTGTGTATGTATGTATGTATGTATGTATGTATGTGTATGTAATATGTAATATGCAATATGTATATGAATATGAAATATGTAACATGTATATGTAATACGTAATATGTATATGTAATATGTATATGTAATATGTATATGTAATATGTATATGTAATATGTATATGTAATATGTATACGTAATATGTATAAAGAATATATATATACATATATATATGCATCAAAGCATATATATATATGCGTACATATGTATTTATATATATATATGTAATATATATAAATTTGCGCGCACCTGTGGGCGCAGTCGAGCTTACAAATGTTTTACCATGGGGACATTAAACCCCAAGAAGTTGGGATATATGGGGCCCCTGAAATATATCCACTTAGTTCACTGGAACTGCACTTCCAAGTATTGTTACCCTCCATCCAGGCTTCAATCCAAATTAACGATATGTTGCTGTGCTCGTTTTTTCGGCCGTGTGACTGATGCCATCATCCCATTTTCCATCAATGGCGATTCTTGATTGAAAAACATGCAACCACGTAGGTGATAAGTTGTAGAATATCAAACAACAAATTTGGTATATTACTATCATGAGACCCAAATGTTGGATAATTCTCGGGGGATATCGGGGGAACTTGGAAAACATCGCCAATCTGTTGGGTAACCAAATCCTGAGTTGCAAAATACGAGCCCTCTTCCGTGTGGAATTCCCGCACTGTCATGTGGCTTTGGTCAAACGGTGTATACCCCAAATCCACTGCTGGATCATGATATTCCCGTTAAATGCTAGTTTATCGTATTTCTCGTGAACTTCTTGTCAAAGCGACGCCTGCTAGACGCTGTTCCACGATACTCTCTTCCAAGTGTATCAACTGTGTCCAGCGCGCGGCCACATTATCCACATGCACCATTCAATTCGGCTGGGGGTACCCATGCAACTCTACTAGCTGAGCCCGAGCTTCGGCACGTTGAATTCAAAAACAAAGAATACCTCCCTCCATGTCATGTGCGTTTGGCTCTTTAAAAAATGCTTTCTTCCAGTGATCCCCACCCTGGACCTATTCTGACATAGTTTCTGACATACCATCTGAAAGTATATAGGGCATACTTATTCTGACAATTTCTGACATTCTTTCCGGCATATACTTTGACATTCTATCTGGCATCTATTCTGACATACTTTCTGGCACATATTCCGGCATTCTATCTGGCATCTATTCTGGCATTCTATCTGGCATCTTTTCACGCATTCATTCTGGCATTCTTTCTGGCATATGTTCTGACATTCTCTCTGACATTTTTTCTGGCATATGTATCTGGCATATCTTCTGACATTCTTTCTGGCATTCGATCTGGTATATATTCGGAGATTCTTTGTGGTGGAGGTCCGGTGGGGGGAACACTCTGATCCTGAGCTTGCCGTGGAGGTCCGGCGGGGAACACTGCGATTTAGGGCTTGCAGCTGAAGTCCGGCGAGGATCACTCTGATCCAAAGGTTGCTGTTCGGGTCCGGTGGGCAACACTGATCTAGAGCTTGCAGTTGAGGTCCGGCGGGGAACACTCTGATCCTGGGATTGCTGTTTGGGTCCGGCAGGGAACACTGCGATCTAGAGATTGCAGTTGAGGTCCGGCGGGGAACACTCTGATCCTGGGATTGCTGTTTGGGTCCGGCAGGGAACACTGCGATCTAGAGCTTGCAGTTGAGGTCCGGCGGGGAACACTCTGATCCTGGGATTGCTGTTTGGGTCCGGCAGGGACTCTAGATTGCAGTTGAGGTCCGGCGGGGAACTCTCTGATCCTGGGATTGCTGCTTGGGTCCGGCAGGGACCCTGCAATCTAGAGATTGCAGTTGAGGTCCGGCGGGGAACTCTCTGATCCTGGGATTGCTGTTTGGGTCCGGCAGGGAACACTGCGATCTAGAGCTTGCAGTTGAGGTCCGGCGGGGAACTCTCTGATCCTGGGATTGCTGTTTGGGTCCGGCAGGGAACACTGCGATCTAGAGCTTGCAGTTGAGGTCCGGCGGGGAACTCTCTGATCCTGGGATTGCTGTTTGGGTCCGGCAGGGAACACTGCGATCTAGAGCTTGCAGTTGAGGTCCGGCGGGGAACACTCTGATCCTGGGATTGCTGTTGGGGTCCGGCAGGGAACACTGCGATCTAGAGCTTGCAGTTGAGGTCCGGCGGGGAACCGGCGGGGAACGCTCTGATCCTGGGTTTGCTGTTCGGGTCCGGCGGGGAACATTGCGATCTAGCGCTTGCAGTTGAGGTCCGGCGGAGGAAGGCGGAGGAGGATAAGGACGCGGCGGGACAGCTGACATAAAATCTAACAACCCTCGCCTGACAGGTGGGGAAAAAAGCACAGAACCACACACGGTTTTGTGTGAAAATGGAGGGGTACCTGAAGTTATAGGCACCTATGCCAAAACAATGATAAACTGCTGGATTTGGGGGTAGCCTATTTTCAAACGCACCCCCTCGGCATGGTTGGCATGTATGGGTCATAACTCCTGTAACAAAAGCATAGCCGGTGAGATCACCCAAGTCGACCTGAAAACTGCACGTAACTTTGATGACTTGCAGCGGTGGAAATCTGAATTTAAGGGGAGCTCTCTCACTTTGGGCGATGGCCAAATTCACAATCCTTCGCCTACTGTAGTTTTCTTACACAATAACTAGCGGTGCTATTTCTGTCATATTTTGGCCAAAAAAAACACTACAAATGGCCGGGTCATCACTTCCAAGAGGGATGGAACAGCAAAAATTAATGAACAGACCAGTTATTCAATCGGACACCACAAACTTAGGCAACTGGACATTCCAACAGCATCCGTGCAAAACTTGTGTAGTGATCAGAACTTGTGTTACAAGATGGGATAACCTACGAGGAAAGTCGCTAAAAAAATCTCTGCAGCACGGGTGTGGCTGAAGACTGCTGAGCAAAACCATTTAGATATAAACATTTGAACATACTGCTTACCTTAGGATCCTAAACGGTCCAATCTCCTCGGCATTCTTGCCGAATCGCCCTGCAGATCTATTTACAACCATTCCCAATATCACTGATTGCTTAATCAATCCTCATTTCCATCCGGGTCTCTAACAGATTTCCTCTACAAACATCATGGATTTTGCAGGCCGCTGTTTCACTGGACCGGACGTGAAAAACAAGTTACATATTGACTTGTGCGACCCCTTAGAAATGGGGAATTCGCTGGACTTAGACCATGGGATGATCCTTGGAGTATCCACGAGCTATAGGGAAGATTGTTTTATGGTACAGTTAACTGGAGATTTCATATAATTATAAGGTATAATCGAGTCGATATTTAAATCATATATGTGGATGTTCCTCTCCAAAATAGTTCTGTTTCCGGTGTCGCATTTTGGTCGTACCAATGGCTAGGCATCCACACGCATGGCAGTACCAAGGAGCGACCACGAGTCTCCTCTGCCGCTAGTTTTCGTTGGAAGGTGCAATTTGGAAGGGCTGTAAATTGCTTGGTTTTTCAATAAGAAAATGGGAATTCCAATAGATTATATAAAGTGAAAAAATATGTGTAAGCTATGGTAAATTATTCGTGTTTTGGGACAAATAACCGACAAATGGGGATTCTACATTGCAAGATTAGATTGGTTGGTGTATAACTAGGCTAAGGAGATTTCTGGTGGATATACCTATCTAAAGTATGATGGCAGGAAATATTTAAACCAAAGAGACAACGGCAAGGCCCCTTCCTATGCTGGTTTGTTTGGTTATGCCTATCATATGACTAAATATGGGACAGCAATGAGTAGTACGCAGTTGATATAATAGGGAGGTTCCCCGAATGTGGATAATGGGTTTTGACCCCATCCCTTCATTTGGTTGGCCACCGAGACAAGAATCATCCAATGAAGGGATGGAAAAAAAAGGAAATCGTGGCTTTACGGCACCAAAATGTTGCATGTGAATGGTTCCCCCAAGCCGTTCATTGGGATGTCTCCAAATCATGGTGGTGATGATGATGATGATGATGATGATGATGATGATGGCGGTGGTGGTGGTGGTGATGATGAATAATTCTGCTTTGCAAGAAAGTTCGGACTTGCCGGGATCATACGGCGGTGGGATGGCTTATGTGAAAGCGAGGGGAGCCGGGAAAGAGATTTTCAAAACCAGGGGATTTGGTGGTACCCGTGGTACCCCAGTTTGGGACAGCTTCAATGGGACGACTGCTGAGTCTTGGGGATCTCATTTTGAGGTCAGACCTCTGGCCATGTGACATGCTTCGCACATGTTGCCAGAGGTCAAGTTCGATTTTTTGTATCTGGGATATGGTCATCCGCCGCCATGGGAATCATCAGAATGGGGTATATAAATATATATAATTCCTACGAAAATCGATGACCATCCCCCAATATGGGTATATGGTATACAATCCAACTTTTGACTCGACTCTCGCATGAACTTAGAGGTCCATACTGACACAGCCCCGGACTCTGGCGGTGGGGTCAGTGCATTTGAAACTATGGTGACTGAATATCATGAAGGTCAAGAGAAGACCGGGGCCAACAATCGGAGCGCCCCAAGAGTGGGTAACGATAAGAACATGCATCATGCATATAATTGTAGTGTCGCAAGATTTAACCCAAAGTGAAGTGGGAATCAAAACAGAACAGGAAGGGTGAGGAATCGCAAGGCGCGACCAAATTTTCAAGTGCCAAAGTAGGCAACCTCCTTTTCTTGGGTTTAATCACCCCTAGCATTCCTCTTTTGCAGTCTCATGTAATTTGCGAAACGCTGCCTCGCACTATCTTTTGACTATGGCACATGCAATCTATTGAATACCTAGACTTCCAATACTAGGCGAGGTTACAACTCAATCCAGGGCCCTGGTCCACCATGCCGATGCGAAGATTGATGTTTGGTCAGTGCTCAGAGTTCAAGACTGCACTTACAGGACTTCCAAGCACAACAATCAGCATGTGTGCAACATGTCAAGATCTGGTTTTATCTGAAAATGAGGTAAAACCACCAAAATCAAACCATGAATCATAACATTCCCCTATATTTTCCCCATTGAAATGGCCATAACTTGGGGGTTCATACCCCTTCAAGTTCTCCATGTCTCGGCTGCTGCTTTTTCCGCCAGACCTTCGGAGCCAAAAGCCCTCCGTCGCGCAACGGATCCAGGTGATCGGTGATCTGGTGATATCATGAGTTCGTCAATGGGAAGGATGACATCCCATATATGAAATGGAAAATAAATTTCCCATGGTTTGAAACCACCAACCAGTACAAATGGCAATAGAATGGGATTAATAATGGATTAATAATGGATTAATAATGGATTAATAATGGCAATATCTATATATATATATATCAGTATTTATTATGGATGAATAATGACTACTTGGAGAATCATCCAACGAATCAGAACTGATATATCATCGTGGTCATGGGGCTGAAAAATCCCCAGTTTTTTGAATGTGATTCACCCCCACGACATCGGGGGCGAATACAATCACTAGGGTTATGAAAACCAGTTACGATCCGTGGATCCTCCAAGTAAGATCGAAGTATAGCTGGGGAAAAAAAATCCACGCCATGTTTGCCAAAGGGCCAAGCATTACCGAAATGCGAAAAATGTTCGGTTTCCAGTGTGAAAAATTACCACAGTGCATAACCTTACCAAAAAGAGCAGAACATGTTGGCAACAAATCTGATAGCAGCGACTTTTCCCTATTGATAGCAGGATACATTTTTTTTGTGTCACTGTCACTGCACTTGAGGAATCATCTCCATCTAGGGACTCGGGCGTCAGTCACATCTAATCCCATCCAGCATTTTTTGGGGGATTCCAAGCCCAAAATGAATAGATACCAAATTAAACCCATGATTCCATCCTTGTCTGCAGGGTATTTCTATAATTTGCGGAGAAAGGACCTACTGTAAGTA